ATTTTCAAGTGGTTAGAAATGTCGACACTTTCTAGATTGTTCATTGTTCTCTATGTTAAACCACAAAAAATATAACACTCTATATTATAAAAAGAATCAAGAAAGAAAATTCCAATTAAAAAGAATAATTTTACTCTACATAGATTCAACCTAAAAATCAATAAATATTAATTTCACATAGTATTTTATTTACACACGACCAATCCAATACTTCCATCAGTTAATTATTTGTCTAATATACAATGTTAGTTATTTAAGAAAACTTAATGAACTAAGCTGTTCGATTGGTTATGATATATAACATTATTTTTTCTTATGTAGTTAATAAGTTACATGACATTATGAAAAGACTCGAGCTTGAAAATCAAAATCACATCAAATTATATTCGATATCCTTACTTAAATTATATCAATTTGGAAAAACCAAATATTTGTATACCTGTATTTAAGACTACGAAATACCGATAAAGTTAAAAAGGGGCTCGATTCAATATGTGTTAAGCAACTATTAGGTTAAGGGAATACCTGCATAAGTCTATAATTGTGGAACAAGCTAAACACATTATATGTCCTTTATACTAACATTAAAAAAATATAAAAAATAGAACGAGATCCGAACACTAACTTATTAAAAGAAAAAAAGAGAAGTACTCGACGAAAGAGACACACTAAGCAAGAACGAGAAATTTGCCCCGCCCCGTTTGATTATAGCCACGTCTATTTTTATCATCATAGTAACTAAATTAGGTCAGAACTCAGAGGTGTAATCTGGGTTAACGACTTTGTTCCCTATTTCCCCGGCTAAATCAAAACCGACCGACTTTGATCTAGAGTAATGCTTTCAGCCCATTTTCGGGCCGAACCACAAACCAAGCCCATGGAATAACTCCTACACGGCCCGAAGCATATTCCTTTCTCCGTGCACTCACGTGCCCACCTCCAACGCTAGCGATTGACTCCCACTCTCCAACTCATAAATCATAATCATCCAACCAACCCCAAGCTCATAGTGTGCAGTACAACGAGGAAAACCCGCGCGTGGGTTTGAAACTTGATCTCCGCTGTAATCAGCGGTGAAAAAACAGCGGCTAATACAACGATCTGATCCCTATAATTAATTAGAGAAAAAAATCCGGCGGGCTTCCTTTATTAATCCCTTCTTCTTCTCCAAGGCAAAAATAAATAAACAAATAATATAAAAAAGAAACCCTCTCTCACACGTGGCTCTCCGCTCCTTAGCTTAAACCCTCTTTTCATCTGTATATATAACCGCTCCCCTTTCTCCACTGTCTCTCACATACTCGCCAAAAAACCTCCATCCATTTTCTCCTTTCTAGACCCTTCTTCTTCGTTATCTCCGTCCTCGCTTTTCCAATGGGTAAGCCGATGCTGAATCTCCGTTTCCCACTGTTCTCCGCCTTATGTTTCTACTAATTTTATGGACTCTGATCGGTTTCGTTTTTTTTTCTTCTTCTTTGTGCGTTTGCTTGTTTTGTTCGTTTCAGCTGGTGGAAAGATTAAGATCGGAATCAACGGTACGTGATCGATCGGTTCTCAGTTCTGGCCTATGGTTTTCCGTTCTAGATTTGTTATTGTTTTAGTTGATTGCTGATCTGGATCTGGGTTTTTGCGATGGTGGTGTTGCAGGGTTCGGCCGTATTGGTCGTTTGGTTGCTAGGGTTGCTCTAAAGAGGGACGATGTTGAGCTCGTTGCTGTGAACGATCCGTTCATCCCTACTGACTACATGGTATATTTAATTGAATGGATCTGTCTTTTTGATACCTGTAGTTTGACTTCGACTTGGGAGTGGAAATTGCGTGGATTGATCTGTTGACTTGGGGATTCTGAAACTCTTTATGTGTGATAATTTCAGACCTACATGTTCAAGTATGATACCGTCCATGGTGGGTGGAAGCACTCTGATGTGAAGGTGAAGGATGAGTCCACCCTTCTCTTCGGCGACAAGGAAGTTAAGGTTTTCGGTCTCAGGTAGGGGAAGATGAAGCTTGTGTGATCTTTTGCTTTGGCGGGTGTTTCTGAGTTCTGGATTAGGGGTTTTGGAGGGTTGGTGGTTTTGATTGTTGATGATAATTGTGGATTTGCAGGAACCCGGAGGAGATCCCATGGGCATCTGTTGGTGCTGACTTCGTTGTTGAGTCCACTGGTGTCTTCACTGACAAGGACAAAGCTGCTGCTCACTTGAAGGTTTGTTTGCTGCTTGATTTCCCCTTTTTATCTTTTTTTTTTTTGCGTTGATTGATCTGCAAGTAAGTTTTGTTGAGTGTTGTTGTAGCTTTCTTAGAATTGAAGATCTGTTTGTTCCTGGACTGTGATCTTTACATAGTCCAACTATGAGTAGTGTTGACTAGCTTTGACTTCACCTGGTACTTCAGTCCGTGCTGTTTTGGGTTGTTTCTTTTTTAGTTTTTTTGGTTGTCTAGCCAATCGGTGGTTATCTTAGTTGATATCTTGATTATGACTCGTTGAATTGCTGTTTGGTTGGGTCTTGATATTTCAACAATGATTCTTTTGGTTCAGGGTGGTGCCAAGAAGGTTATCATCTCTGCCCCAAGCAAAGATGCACCCATGTTTGTTGTTGGTGTCAACGAGAAGGAATACAAGCCGGAGCTTAACATTGTCTCCAACGCTAGCTGCACAACCAACTGCCTTGCTCCCTTGGCCAAGGTAAGCCTTGCAGTCATCCTAGTGTGGTTTTCAATGAAGAATTGTAGTTGGGGTATATGTTTTGCTGATGTTGGTTGATTCTTTTGTTATATGTCAGGTTATCAACGACAGGTTCGGAATTGTTGAGGGACTCATGACCACCGTCCATGCCATCACTGGTAAGCTTTTGAATCAATCTCTGTCTGCATTTGTGGTGTTAATCAGGGTGATGTAGTCTTTAGTGTTCAATAATGTGTATTTGTAATATTTCAGCCACCCAAAAGACCGTTGATGGTCCATCAAACAAGGACTGGAGGGGTGGAAGAGCTGCTTCCTTCAACATCATTCCCAGCAGCACTGGAGCTGCCAAGGTATGTATCCATCCATTTCTTCGTTTCATAATGTTTTTTAAGCAGCGAGTTCAAAGCTAAATGGCATAATAACTGTGGTCTATCAGGCTGTTGGCAAGGTTCTCCCAGAACTGAATGGAAAGTTGACTGGTATGGCCTTCCGTGTCCCAACTGCTGATGTCTCAGTGGTCGACTTGACTGTCAAAATTGCCAAGGCAGCAACATACGAGCAAATCAAGGCTGCCATCAAGTAAAGCTTCCCGATTGGATCCCGTCACTTGTTGGCTTGTGCTAGAGCCTGAATTCATTTGTCACTAACAACGGGTGTTGATTATATATTACAGGGAGGAGTCTGAGGGTAATCTCAAGGGCATCTTGGGATACGTTGATGAGGATGTTGTGTCTGCTGATTTCCTCGGTGACAGCAGGTCAAGCATCTTTGATGCCAAGGCTGGAATTGCATTGAACGACAACTTTGTCAAGCTCGTGTCGTGGTATGACAACGAGTGGGGCTACAGGTACGACATGAACCAGATTAAGTTATCATTTCCTCTCTTGTTTTTTTTCTCTCTCCTTAGGGCGATCTGTGTTCTGATTTGTTGCTACTTGCCAATTTTGCAGCACCCGTGTTGTTGACCTGATCTGCCACATCGCCAAGACCGTGTAAATTGGGAGATAAGAGATCAAGGAAGGATTGGAATGGAAGGGCTGAGCTCCTGTTGAGTTTCTTTTTTCATGTTGATGAGTGGGTGGCGGTTGGGTTGTTGATGTGGTTTTCTTTTTCCCAGAGTTTTAGAGATACAGTTGGTATCATATCATAGCTGTTTCGGGAGGAACCCTTTTGACTATGGAATAAGGATTTAGTTGAATTCTGAATTTTGACTTTGCTGGTGTTTATGATTACCAGTATAAATGTTTATGTATAAGATAAAAGCTTTGTCAATCAAAGCTCAGCAGGAAAGTGTCTTCCTTTTCCTGGCAAAGCTTTCACTGCCATCGAGGTTTCCTGGTTTTACTGGCTTGGTCTATTGTGGTGCATTTGGTTGTGTTGTTATTTAGTGGCGGCTTACGCGAATATTAGTCATTGTGAAATACTGAAATGGACGTTTGGCTCCAAGCCAAAACTACCTCGGTAGATGTGCTTAATTTGGATGGGCTGTAGCCTGTATGTATTGAATTGATCGACTAGTCGACGTTGTCAATTATCTGTCGGTTTCTGTAACCCAATCTATGGGCTGGAAGGATAACGTAACAGAGGTATGGTTCTTCAATGTTGGCCTGAAAATCTCGAAGTGCTCATTTGAGTTGGCGGCATAGTGACCGGAAATTGGGCAACAAATTCTGCCAGAAAGGCTTGAAAAACTGACTCAATCCATCCTTCCTCGTCCAAAACCTCAAGGTTACTTTTCGAGAAAAGGTAATTCCAATCCTGCGTACTTTCAAAAAGATAATTTACATCTCGAAACTTGAAAGTCGGTTGATGAAATATAAATCACTTGAATGCATCACCAATGGAGCCCCAATACTGTAAGAAGAGCTTGATGAAATACTTTGAGAAGATGCCTTGGAATGGAACCCTCATCTTTGGACTGTTTATTTCGGAAGGGAAAAAAAAAAAGAAGAAGCCCATCCACTCTCAGCATATCCAATCAAGGATCACAGAGTCCAACAACCCCCTTAACTTCACATGCAACTATGGAAACTACTTTTTCACATGCCTCACTCACCTGCTCCACAATCACGAAGCTCTTCACGTTTCTGATCCAAAGCCCCAACTTTAGCATCTCCAGTTTCATATGACAGATTGAATTTATGGCATCCGCCTGAACATCAAACACCAGTCAGTCAGAAGTCTTCTTTACGCGCAAGCAACAGTAAGCCCCCGTCAGAAGTCTTCTTGTGCATGATTTTATACCGTCACCTGAATCAAGGTTTTAGATTTTTGGTTCGAGAAATAGATTCAGCGGCCAATTTCCTACTGTCTCATGTTGCTCCTTGGGAAGTTTCCGAGACAGTCTCAAATCCCTGTCTGTAAGTTGAATCACTGTGTCCTTTCTGCATTTGGCTATGGATCTTCACAGTTGAATAGTATTGCATTTCTTCAACAGGAGCAAGAAGGTTATGGATCAGCCAACCCGTCTGATCTTAACTACCTGGTAGCCAAAGTATCTGTTATGGGGGATGACTGATGTAATAAGACCATTCAGCTGGTATCTCATCTCATGGCCTTGTTTCCAAATTGCTTTCTCGGTTCAAGGATAAGACCATTCAAATTGTTTGAACTTTGAAGAGATGATAAGATAAGTAAGTATATAACCTAGCTACCAGACTGTCAGATACATGTTCTTTGGGGTTTAATTGTTATTTGGTTGTTTTATGATACATTGGATATTTCGGGAATTATTGGGGTCAAATCGGTTATGTTAAGTCTTTGGGTAGTTATAGGGAATTAGTCGAATTATATATATATTCTGTGTTAGGCATAAACTAGGGTTAAGCAATAACAACAGAATTATTCCCTAAACTCTTCTCTCTCTCAACCGCCGACCCCTCTTCCTCCTCCCTCAAATCGTTGGCCACCACCTTGGTGTCCCGACCTCTTCTTCCCTCAACCCTAATTTCCATTCTATCTCATCCAAATCCCTAATTCGCGTACTAATCCAATCCCTAAATCGCACACCTAGATCCGTACTCTTTTAGTAGTATCAGAGCCTGGCTGGTGTGCCGATTTTCTGAAGAAGTACTGTAATCCGAAGATGACAAGCCCTATGGACAAACAACAACCGCCGCGCCAGAACAAGGAGATCGTGACGATCAAGGATGTGACAACAAGCAAGTATAACGAGATGGCGGCATCGATGGAAAGCCTGACGGAGGTTACTGTGAGGGCCGCGGAGGCCTCAAGAGGCTCGATTGGTGCAGTTGAAGCCATGGGTGACCAGATCAAGGCATCCATCGACGAGATGAGCAAGAGCGTGGCTGAAAACATCTGCGGAGCCATGACAGCAACGATGAAGGAGGTGCTAACCCAAGTTCTCAAGAACCGTGAGCAACCGACAACCGCAACCCTGGCGGTGACGCCAGCGGAGAAGCTGGCCGGTCCTGGTGGAGACGACACGGCACGACGAGCAAGGAGAAGCCGCCGAGAGGCGGCGCGGGAGCTGGAGTGGTCACGACGGTGGCGATTCGGGAGGTGGCGGCGGCGAAGGAGACACCGCCAAGCGGAGGTAGCGAAGCAGGGACGACGCGAGTCTCGACCGCGAAGGGCAGCTCACAGGGGAGCTCTTCCGTTCCGCGCAGCCGCGCCGTGGAGGAAGGAGACTTGGGCGCGGTAAGCGCGCCAGAGCCGGTGTTGAGCGGCCCAGGCTTACTGCCGACACCGACGGACCAGGCCCACGACAAAGCCCGTGGGAAGCAGAAGATGGTGGGGTACGAAGGAGAGCCGTGGACGACTGGGCCCAACGGAGAGGACCCATGGCCGATTGGGCCCGGGGAGGAGGATGAGCTTAGCTTCGCGGACAAGGAATGATGGATGAACCCAGGCCCAGAGGAGGCGATATTGGGCTGGGTATCGGACCCTAAGTCAGGCCGAACTAGACCGATCACCGGGTGGCCAACCGATCGGACCGGAATCAGTCGAATTGGGCCTGATGCTGCTCGTCGGGAACTGGGAGGATGAAGGCGAGGAAGTGGAGGCCCGGGAGGCAGAAGGGAAGAAGGAAGAGAAGAAAGAAGGTTCACCTTGAGGACAAGGTGGGTTTCAAGGGGATGGAATGTCAGATACATGTTCTTTAGGGGTTTAATTGTTATTTGGTTGTCTTATGATACATTGGATATTTCGGGAATTATTGGGGTCAAATCGGTTAGGTTAAGTCTTTGGGTAGTTATAGGGAATTAGTCGATTTATATATATATTCTGTGTTAGGCATAAGCTAGGGTTAAGCAATAACAACATAATTATTCCCTAAACTCTTCTGTCAACCGCCAACCCCTCTTCCTCCTCCCTCAAACCGTCGGCCACCACCTTGGTGTCTCGACCTCTTCTTCCCTCAACCCTAATTCCCATTCTATCTCATTCAAATCCCCAATTCGCGTACTAATCCAATCCCTAAATCGCACACCTAGATCCGTGCTCTTTCACAGACATGCCGTGTCTTGCTGGAGGGATTAAATCTCAACGACACTATGCTTCGTGCTGCTGAAAAGATTCAAGGTTTAATGAAGAACACATGAGTACACGAAGCAAAGCTTTCATGTGTTGTTCCTTTCAATACTTAAGCAGTACCTGAAGAACATGGATTTTACTTTTACCATGTTCACTGAAACGAGTTCCATGGATTGGAATTCCTGCTAAGATATAAATCCCAATGGTCTTGCTTATTTTAGCTTGATGGATGCACAGAGAAAGACTCTACTGCACACCTGTGAACTTCAACAACTATGCCATCTGTTACCTGTGCAACTGTGAGGATTTCAAGACTCTAGCAGCAACCTAATTAGGAGACAAGTTTGTAATTAGAGAATGTTTGAATCTTGGAGGCTGTCTGATACTTGACAGTCTTCTGGTTCAATTTTCTCCATGGTTCCTGGCATATTCCTCAACTACAACAGACTGAAGTACAGCCAGGGTTTCTGAAACATTTCAAGTGACCTGGAAATCTGTGTTATGAAGATGATATCAAAGTTGCCTTACTGGCATTTGACTATTTTGAGGACAGGCAACCTCCCATCTCGAATTGCCTAAAGATTCTCCAATGAAAGGTTAGCGAACTGTTCTATTTGTTTTCAACCTTGCTGCCCCCATATAAAGCTGCTACCTTTCTGGTTTATCTCTAGCTGGTTGCATTTCATAAAGCATCAAGTGCTCTGTTTGTGCTCTTCACCTTTTTTTGTCTTGAGAAGGGAGTTTTGGCTTGTGTTCTTGGATGTTTCTGTAACTGTTTCGGTTTTTTGGCCATGGGGACTCCTGGTGTGTCACATGGTGATGTCTATTCTGTGTTTCTATCTCACCAAAAACCACAAATGGCAGTGGGGATAGAGAGAGAAAGTTTAAAGAGGATTGGATTCTCGTGATCCAATGCGAGCAGATAGATTAAAGGGTGAATTTTTTTTGTTTCATCTGATTGTAGGGTGGTGGTGCCATAAAAGCCAAGCATGTGCACGGGAGATGGGGTCAGCCAAGCCAAGCCAAGTCAAGTCCTCTTTTGCCTTGGTAATCTCTATATGCTTATTCAATCGGCTGTAAAGTAGCATAAACTAATGATTCTCCTAAACAAGTGACGATACGGCTAGAAATTGAAGATCCAATACTCATGCCCGGGTCGGTTCGTGGTTTGATAGAAACTGAAATGGGGTGCCAGTGCCACTGTCAGTTTGGTTTCGATTGTTAAAACCGAAAACCATTAATAAACCGATAGATCTTTAACATAATCAAAGATTCGTTTTCAGTTTATTTGGACTTAATCAAAAGCGACAAGAACTTTTAGGGCGTTAAATAGAAATTCCGTGTCAGTTTTTCCTAATCGGCTAATCTTCCCTCTCCGGCACCACACCACCTGCCGGCGACAGAGTTATCCTCCCGGCCGGTCACCAGAGCCCAAGTTCACCTCTATCGTCAAACTACCCAAATGATCCCTCCAAGCTGACATGATTACAAGCCTCTCCAATCTCCATAGCCTTTCCCTCTTCCAGAAAAAGGAAAATCCATCTCCTGCATACAGTTGCACATAAAACAACAGAATCCCATGAAAACCTCCTCAACCTAATCAATCCTCCCTCCCTCCCTCTCTTACTATTCCCGCGGGAACCACCAGACAAAGACACTCACTTTCACGAGCTAATTATAGAGCACGGAATCTGACTCTCCTCTATGCAATCAAATCTTTTGTTTATTATATAACACGTTAACCCAAATTCAGAAAATTCCTCTCCACCATAAGAACAGCACAACCCCACAAATCAAATCCAAGTGGCCTCCTCTCCACAAAAACTACCCTTTTAGTGTGCCTTTCCCTCTTCAATGGCTTCCCTTTCCCGGCAAAAAAGTTGCCGTCTTTCCTCTTTTTCCCCCACTTGACATTGAACTGTTCTTCTTCTTGTAACTTCTTCTCTCTGTTTCTCCTCCCAATCAAAAACCCAATTCATAAAAGAACGAAAAGCTTCCAACTTTCAATTTTTCCTTCTGTCCCTGAAAATGCCGCCGTCGAATTTCCCGCTCCGGTGGGAGAGCACCGGCGACCAGTGGTGGTACGCGTCCCCGATCGACTTCGCCGCCGCCGAAGGCCACTACGACCTGGTGAGGGAGCTTCTCCACTTGGACAACAACCTCCTCATCAAGCTCACCTCCCTCCGCCGCATCCGCCGCCTTGAGACCGTTTGGGACGACGACGACGAGAAGAAGCCCGACTCCAGAGGAGAAGTCGCCAAGTGTCGCGCCCACGTCGCCCGCATGCTCTACACGGAGTGCGAGGTCTCCCCTGGCTACAACACCCTCGTAAGAGCTCGGTACGGCGGGTGGCTGCTCTACACGGCCGCCTCCGCCGGCGATTTGAAATTCGTCGACGAATTGCTGGACAGAGACCCGTTTCTAGTGTTCGGCGAGGGAGAGTACGGCGTCACGGACATGTTCTACGCCGCCGCGAGGGGCGGGAACTCCGAGGTTTTCAGGGTTTTGCTCCGGTGCTCTGTTTCGCCGACGGGGAAACAGGGGAACGATGAAGAGGTGGAGAATCAAAAAGGGGACAAGGAATTCGAGATGGAGATTGTGAATCGTGCGGTTCATTCTGCTGCCAGAGGTGGGAATCTGGAGATTTTGAGGGAATTGCTTAAGGATTGTGGCGATGTTTTGAGTTATCGTGATGAACAGGGTTCCTCTGTTTTGCATTCTGCAGCTGGAAGAGGCCAAGTTGAGGTAAAACTCTGTTCCTGCGGAAAGAAACACAAACGTTTCTTTTTTAACATTTGCAGGAAAAGAAACGGTTGGGTTGTCATAACGAATAAGTATCAATTTTTTTCCCCAGGTGGTGAAGGAGCTCATAGCGTCCTATCACATCATAACTTCCACAGACCACAACGGCAACTCGGCCCTCCACGTAGCGGCTTATCGAGGCCACTTACCGGTTGTCGAGGCGCTAATCCAAGAATGTCCATCCCTAACCTCACTCACAAACATCCATGGCGACACATTCCTCCACATGGCCGTTTCGGGGTTCAGGACGCCCGGTTTTCGGAGAATGGACAAGCAGATTGAGCTCATGGAGAAGCTAAACTCCGGTGGTGGGATTGTGAACATCCAAGAGGTCATCAATGTGAAGAACAACGATGGAAGGACGCCTCTCCACATTGCTGTGTTTGAAAATATCCAATCTAGCCTAGTCGAGCTTCTCATGACCGTCCCCTCGATCAATTTGAATGTTAAAGACGCGGATGGCATGACACCACTCGATCTCCTGAGGGAAATTAGGCCGAGATCAGCTGCTTCGGAGATCCTGATCAAGCAGCTGGTCTCGGCTGGAGGTGTCTCCGGCAGGAGACATAATATCACCGCTATTGTCTCTCAGTTGAGAGGCATAGGGATGAGCCCAGGCACGAGTTTTCGGATCCCGGATGGTGAGATCTTCCTCCACACAGGTGTGGAGCATGCAGCGGCGTCTGATTTCAGCCGCGAGCTGGGAACCAGCGCGGATTATAGTTCAGCATTGAGTCAACAAGATGCGAGTGTAGATGACTTGGAGAAGAAGGCAAGTAGTACTAGGCCAGGAAACAAGGTGAGTTCTGCTGCAAAGCGGCTCAAGGCACTCCTCCAATTGCCAAAGAAGAAGAAGAAAGCAAAAGATCAGAAAGACCCTACCGTGGTGGCCAAGTTAACAGACGATGAGGCGTCTTCCATCGAGTCCTTTCATCTCTGCAGAAGCTACGAGGAGTGTCCAATTCCGTTGAGGAAGAAATACTCGAAGCTCGCCACGTTCAATGGTAATGGGAATCTTCCGAGTCCTTTGACAAGGAGCAGATTTGCAGCAGGGTTGATGCACGGAGTTATAAATGCGAGGCCACATTTCTCTGATCAGTCGACTCCTCCGAGTCCTTTTTCAGCTGTGTCTTCATCCGCGTGCTCACCGGCTTCTTCGAATCGAGATAAAAACCTGGTTAAATCAGCAACATTCAGCTCCAAGCTGATGAACCGCAAACAAGGTTCGTTCAATGCGAAGCTGATGAACCAGTACTTGTCTTTCGGTGCACAAGGGTTGGGAGTCGATGGTGGCGATTCGGTTAATCGTAAACCAGGATACGAGGATTACACCCACCGGCGGCCTACTTCTTTAGCAGCTTGAACAAGTCTCTGATGTAATGTAACTCTTTGCTGCTGCGAGACACAGAAGGTCGAGGGAGAGCTACCTTCCTTTTTAGTAATGTTCTTTCTTTTCCAGATCAGGCAACGCATGGCTCTCAAGGTTTTGGAAAAAGGAAGTTGTTTTTTCATTGTTCTAATGTACGTATTGTACAGTACTTTTAACATTCGTAACCAGAAATCCTTGCATCAAATGCCAATGTTTTCTTTGCATCCCAATTCTGCAGTTTGATTCTGCGCTTCTTTCTTCCATTTGGCTGAAGGTGGAATTATTAAATGGGCCTTTTCCGCTTAAGATGAAATGGACTCGGGCCCGTAGAAAAAACGAGCATTTCCAAAATTGGGCTAAACTTAGAATGGGCTTTTCGGCGACTGAAGAAATCCATTGAGGCCCGCAGAAAAGGGTATTTCTGTAATTATAATGAAGCTAAAACCCGCGGGAGATTCAGATTAGTGGCTGATAGAGCCTGCATTTTCCCGCCATTACTCGCTCCCCTCAACCTACTGAAACCCTAGTCAGAGCAAAATCGAAGCGAAGAAGGAAACCAGTCATGGAAGGCGAAATCAAAGCCGAATTCGAGAAGAACGGTTTCATCCTTGATAACGAAGAGGAAATCCTCAACAAATGTAAGAATCCCTATCCCATGCTGCCCGCCAATCTTCTAACTTCTACTGTCACTCGGTTCATTTCCATGTCGGTTTGAGTTCCTAATCTGGTCGCTCGGGGTTTACCAGGTCTCACTTTCTGCATAAACTACAAGCTTAACCCTTCGGATCTCGTTTCCAGCTGGGACGTTTACTCTCTCAATCGGTACAAGGAGATACGAATATATGCGAAAATTTTCTTCTTTTTTCCCTCTTAATTGCAACTTTCGAGCACTGTAATTTAATTTGAGCTTGTTATTTCCGCTTTTTGTGGTTTATGTTACAGAAAGCTGAAAGATCTAGTTGTTCAGAATGTGGAAATGGAAGGTTTCCTATCGCACTTACAAAACGAGCAGAAAGAAGCGGTGGTTAAACAAGAAGCCGACCTTCATTTCTACTCGAGCAAAGATGTTGACATGTAAGCAGTTTCCTCGTGAACAATTTGTTTCAATTCATAGTAGAATTCAGGGTTGAGGGAAATTTTCTTTTTTTTCTTTACAGGATTTTGAATGATGACGAGGAAAACTTTAAGGATGCAATTCTGAGCACTCCTCCAGGTAAAAATGCAAAACCATACTCCGATCCATTTGATTCAGCACTCTACTCGAACGGGAACGGTTATTCTTCTGAGAAGCCGTCAAGGCTTGTGACTCCATTCGGGCGAAGAACCGATAAGTTTGTTGCGAGATTCAACTTCAACAATCTGCCTGATACCGAGAATGGTGACGAAAAGGATGCTGGTATGGACTCTGAGGATGATGTGATCAAGAGGGTTAAACCTTTGAAGAGGTTTTCTTTGGTTGTCAATGGAGATGGGCCTGAGCCAGGTTGCAGATTCATGTATGACAGGATTGAAGACCGGGTATTCAGTTGATTGTTACCCAACTGTGAATGTATTACTTAGAAATGATATCCAACAAAATTCCACTAAAGCTAGTGCCTTCGTTTCTTTCTTTGTTCTTTTAGTTTAATGCACTTGACAACCGCATCAGAAGGCGTGCTGCTTCACTTTTTTCGTCTGGCATTTATGAGGAACCATCAGATCCTTCGGTTGCTTCGGGGGTAAACTTTACAGTCCACTTTATTCTTCTTTCCTTGCGGCGTTAGAAAGCACCTCAAGCATTTGGAGGTTTTATTGTTTTTTAGTTTTGTGTTCATTTGATTTGAAATTTTAAGCATATAGACATTTACATATCTCATTCATCTCATGAATGCTACTGTTTCAGAGAAGTATATTTGCTGTTGGAATGATTTGTTGTGAAGAGGAAGGTCGACTAAATGACAAGTCCATTATGCTGCAAAGCAGGTAAAACTTCAGTGATGGAAACTGTTATGCTTTCTTATAGATAAGCAGATTAACTATGACACCATGTCCAACTTTTAACCCTAATTGAATCTACAGAACAGTATTCTTTCTTTTATCACATTTCCATGGGTGGCCTAAAACATAAAACTTAGAAAGCATGGCATATTCAGGGCCCTCTTATAATCATCATCTAGAAGGTTTACATGGGAAGAGAACCATTCTGTTTCACTGGTTATTATCCAAAGTTTGTTTCCTTGCTCATATTTATGAATTCTTTTTTGAATACTTAAAGCCTGAATTCGACAGCATCGAGCATTCAGGAGGACAGCGTGTGCGTCTAGATCTGCAAAAAGTGAACCAGTTCTCTGTTTTTCCAGGACAGGTAAAATCTGTGAATACAAGTTATTGGTGTTTGATCCATTCACGTCCAATTGCATACTCAACCAAAAGACGCGTTATTTCTCTGCAGATTGTAGGTGTTGAAGGTAACAATCCAAGTGGATATTGTTTGATCGCATCGAAGCTGGTAGATTCTGTTCCTTTATCAGCAAACAATGTTGAAGATTTGCATCCTGCGAAAAGACCAGCCTTGGACCAAGACATTCAGTTGGTTGACTCATCCAGTCCAGAAAAAGAGATATCAGTGGTTAGTACTTGTGCCCGAGTAGTCTTCCATTTTGTTAGATTATGAACTCCTTTTGTTATAATATGGTAGTCCGAATTGGTCAAATCCTCTCATCTTTGATTCAGTCTCTCCATTCCCTAGCATAACTTTTTCTTTTATTCGACAGCTTATTGCCTCAGGACCGTTTACCACAACTGACAACTTATATTTTGAACCTCTCTCGGAGCTACTAGCTTATGCAAGAAAAAAGCAACCACAGCTGCTTATATTGGTAAGATGTTAGTTGCTTTGAAACTCAATCAACTCTTCTTATTTTCAAGTGAAGAAGTCTCTTTTCAGTTAACTGATTATTGTTATGTTTCAGTTGGGACCATTTGTTGACTCTGAACATCCAGAGGTTAAGAAAGGAACTGCGGACAGAAGCTTTGATGAAATTTTTCATATTGAAATCATCAGAAGGGTATTTACTGCTTCAGAAAACTTGTTTTTCCAATTGATTTGTTTAAGCAACTCTGTCTAGATCATGATCCCCTTTCTCTGATTTCAATTTCAGGTGCAAGATTATGTTGAACACATGGGTTCCAATGCAAGAGTGATTCTTGTACCTTCTACACGTGATGCTAACCATGACTTTGTTTTCCCTCAGGTAGCATCAAATTAACTTTCTTCATTTTACCACATTGTTTCCATTAGTGCACCATTTCCATAAGTTGGTCGCTCAAGTCGAAAGTACCATGACGATGTGCTTTGGTTTTTCCAGCCTGCATTCGACATTCATCCTCCCGAGCTCAAACATCAGGTAACTCATCAACTGCTGCACGACGACATCTTTTCGAGTACTTGTCTGTTGGATCTTCATCATGGGACCCAGACAGAATGACTTAGTACTATTTGTTTGGTTTGCCCAGATCAAGAGTCTCCCAAACCCAGGCATTTTCGAAGCTAATCAGGTAATGTCAACATCTTAGTCCTTTGCTTTTGGATTTGGTGATAAGTTCTTTCAATGACCTGGCATATCAGGTCAGAGTAGGTTGCTGTACGGTAGATATTCTTAAACAGCTTAGTGGAGAGGAGCTATCTCGGAATCCCAAAGATGGTTCACCACCAAGCGACCGGATGAGCAGACTTGCAAGCCATATCCTAAATCAGCAAAGGCAAGTTCCAAAGGCATATTACTGACTATCTTCTTGTTACAAATTAATGAATCCCATCGCAGTACCTAACAGCTTCAACATGAAAATATTCCTGAAAGCAGCTTTTATCCACTTTATCCGCCGGCAGAAGATGTCCCACTCGACTTCTCACTTTCTCCAAAAGCTCTCCACATTGCTTCTCCTCCACCTGACATTCTTATATTACCTTCAGACATGAAGTACTTCATTAAGGTAAGTTGAAGCTTAGTGCATACCTTATCCTTATCATTGAATTGCCTCCCTGTAATCCTGTCTCTCCCTCTCTGGTGCAGGTATTAACGCTCGGAGGAACAACTGAAGGGGAAGAGCAGAGGAAGTGCATCTGTATAAACCCAGGAAGACTGGCAAAGGGTGAAGGAGGTGGCACATTTGCAGAGCTCGATTACGGCGGCAGCCCTGATAGAATGAATGCCTCTATCTGGAGCATATAGAAGCGTTCCCAAATCCCAAGTAACACATACTATCACAACTCCGTTCCCGAATGTCGTCTTGCATTGCATACTAGATGGTTATGGTTGCAGAGTCTGGTCTAGATTCTGCAGATCATCAGCAAGTCTATATGAGCTGAATATGTAAATCACCATCCCACATTCCTTGTATCCTTGGGGAAACTGTGCTCCATACGAAGAGAAACAAAGTTGATGGAAAGGGGCAAGGGATGTACATTTGTAGGAATTGAGCTTTGTAAAATTTATGTCAGGTAATGTGTATTAGGGTTCTTCTAAAAGCTGTACTTTTCAGGGGTTTTTTCCTGAGTTTATTAGTATTATTATTTTATTCAGTTCAACTCAGATGGATCAGTAGAGACAAAATAGAAAAAAGAAATGAAAGAATATTAGTCATCTTCCATTTTTTCAATTCTTCAACCAAGATATAAAACTGTCAGAAGTCAACATTCTTGGCTGCTTTCTCTTATTGGTTGAACCAAGCAGCTTGTGATAAGAGTGTCTTATCCTTTTCTTTTTGTACACAACCAATTGTCCAGATTGGTCGACACTGATGAAGTAATGAGTAACGACAAAAAGACCAAGTCTGCTTCTTTTGTTCGATTTCGCTTCTATTCGATTTTGTTTTTCGTTTCAAATTCGTATGCTAAAATTTCCAACAAAATATTCATTATGATGTTGTCTCGCTACATTTGCGACCGTTACATCCAAATTAATTTTCGACTCATAAGCACGTCGATCTGTATTTGTTACATTTACGATCGACTCATAAGCTCGTCGACGCTAATCCACACGTCGACATGCATCAATGACGGGTACATACATTCATTAAGCATTGCTCAAAAAGAAGAAGAAGAAGAAGAAAGGAAGCCACAGCTTATGAACAAGAAGCAGCAGCAGTGAATTCATCACATATACACACAGCAATCAATCCCTAAAATCGAATTATCCGGCCGGAGCGAAACCCTACTTCACCTTATTATTACTCCTTTGCAAATCAGAGCTCCGCCCCCAAAACCCTCTCTCCTTACACCAACCCACCCAGTGAGTCGACACCCACATCACACTCACCGCAATCGCCGCAACAATCACCACCATCCACGACACCCACACCCACGCCGGAATCAACCCCCGGGCCTCACCGCCGGCGAAGAACGCCACCATCTGGATCATGAAAATCGGTGCCAGGACCCCTCTCACCACCGAGTAGAACACGTAGAAGAACGGGGACAGAAACTCGTACAGCCTCGCCGCCGCGGCCGACTCGCCCTTGCGGAACCGGGCGATGCTCCACACGTTCTGGCACGCGCTGGTGGCCTCCGCGAGGATCAGGAGCTCCAGGAGGCCGTACGCTCCCCTGCCGACGAGGAAGCGGCAGGTGAGGAAGACGTAGAGCGTGGCCAGGTGGTGGAGGATGAAGAGGACGTCGGATGGGGAGAAGGCGAGGTAGTGGAGGAGGTCGGCGACGAAGTAGGCCGTGCTGAAATCGAGGACTGAGTTCTGGAATTCCGAATTCGGCGCCGCCAGAGGAGGAGCGCCGCCTGCCGCGGCGGTTAGGAGGGCGCGGACGGCGAGGAGGACGGCGGGGGTGCCGTGGGAGAGGGACATGAAGGAGGAGGAAGCTTCGGCGCGGTGTTTGGGGCCCCAATTGCGGAAGAGGACCAAGTAGGCGAAGAGGTAGATGGAGAGGAAGAGGGCGAAGGAGGTAGAGAAGTTGAGGGAATCCATGGCGGTTGTGGGGAATTGGGGATGGGAGCTTGGAATTGAAGGAGAAGGGAGTTGGAAGTTTTTGAAGGGGTTTTTGTGTAGGAGGGAATATCCAAAGGGAAATCGGAGGTTTTATTCCTTTTAGGTTTGGGGATTGGATGATCAATGGCGTCCTTGTCAGAAATTTTGATTTTTTATGAGATATTTTTTTATAATTAATAATAGTAGAGCATTAAATTAAGGCAAAATACACTTACATAGCCACAACTTTGACATTTGTGACAAATATAGCCACAAATATCAAAAAACCCAAAATAGCCATTTCCGTCCATCTATTTAACGGTGTCAGTTAACAGTGTGACTGGACTGACGGAATAACTGAGTTGGCAAAATTTCGTCCCCACCAATCTATGTGGATTAACAGATAAATAAAAATAAAAAAGGAAAGGCTGGGATTTATCTTTAAAAATTAAAACTGAAAAATGATAAATGGAAACCCTGCAAAACGCCCAAAGTTCATCTTCCTCTTGCCCCAGAACCCTTCCATCACCGAGCTCCAAATACTCCGACGAAACCTTCTTGTGCTTCGTATGACGACGATTGGCGTAACTAGAGTTAGAAGCCACCGGGTTCTTCCTGAATGACGTAGCTTGCCTCGCCGTATTCTTCCCGGATCCAAAATCCAGATCCAAAACCAAATCGGTGGAAACGTGAACGGAACACGATTAATCGTCTTCCTCTTCTGAATCCAGAGTCTTCGCAAGTAGATCCGTCGTCATTATATTCAATAGGGGAGTTGGAGTTCGGATTGGGGTAGACGCCATCACCAGCGGGGCTTTGTCTGCGATTTTGGAACTGTTGACCGGAAGCAGGGGGCGAGAGCTAGTGGCGACGGAGCTAGCGGGTGCGAAGCAGATCCTCGACGCCATCACAGTCGTTCTTCGAAGTCGCATTACCGTCCTTGATGCCCTTGTCGCTCACATCATCATCGTCATGGTCCGCTTCAATCCATCTCCACCGGCCCTACCTCTATCTTCAACATCGACTGGGAATGAGACGACGGAGTAAGCATCGCAGGGAGAAGAACGATGATTTTGGGGGGTTTCGGATTGCAAGGTCGTGACGGCGGCTTGTCGTTCGCAATTTGGCCATTTCGGAGGGAATTGCTTCACATTAGTGCCGCCATAATGTTTATTGCGATGGTAGTGGGCAGTGGGGTATTGCTGGGGAAATTTAGGGAAAATAGTTGTTTTTGTTTTTGTTTTTGTTTTTAATTTTAAAAAATAATTATTTTTATAACTTATAATGACGTGTCAATTATATGATGACTTGTCATTGACGTGTATGTTGAGGTGGCATCTTCGTCAGCATTTCGTTAACTTAACTGACGGATCTTTTAACGTCGTTAAAGTTTTAAACGGAAATGGCTAGATTTGTCACACTCCATCCGATTTTCTGGGTATTTTGGGTTTTCCGATAGTTGTGGCTATATTTGTCACAAACGTCAAAGTTGTGGCTATGTAAGTGTATTTTGCCTTAAATTAACGTTGGAGATTATTAGTTCATAATTAAAAAAAAGGAAAAGACTAGTACTTGAGTAGGAATGAGAATTGGAGTGGAGTAGGAATCAATTAGTTTCGTGCACTTCGGGTTTCATTTGTACTTTTTTCTTCTTCTTTGTACCTAGACTATTATTAGTGCAACTCAAGATTGTTAACCCGCGGGTCGACTTACGGGTTGGTCCACTTTGACCCTGACACAGTCAGAAAAACAGGTCGCACGCACCCGTTGGGGCGACCGCTACAAGGTATCGGGTTGGAGGTTAAATTGTGTCATTTTTTTATTTGGTTTGCGAAATGCGCCTATTTACCGATTTTTCTTTTCGCCTAACTCAATTTTTGAAATCCTTAATTGAACATTTGAATATTGATGTGATATAAGTGTGTGCGAATTTTCACTATATGTTGGATCTAAGTACGACATATTACTTTGGTGTAAAGTTATATATTATTACTCATATTTTAGATGAGATTTTATATAATTTATCAGGATAAGTACATATAATGACTCTTTCCATATTTCCGGGTTAAAACGGCCATATTTCCGGGTTAAAACGGCCTAAAATGGGTGACTCGTTAACCCTTGACCCACTAGCTCGACCGGGTTCGGGTCAACCCGCGAGTTAACAACCTTGGTGCAACTAAATCATTTTCTTTCTAATAGCTTAAGCAACTTTTTTTTCTTCTTCCGTTTGCTTCAATCTCTTCGCATGTAGGTAGTGACGGACCCAGTATTGTTGAAGATAGGTGTCGTCTAATGAACGAGTATCGGCTATAAATATTAAAGCGGTGTCGGAAATTTCGTATTAATTTTTTTTGTACCAAAAAATATAGGTTCTTCACAAAATTTTCGGGTAAAGTCCGACACCCTTAGCAACACGTAGGTCCGCCCTTGCATGTAGATTGTACAATGACGACCAAGCGACATGGGCATCGATTGTCTAACCGCGGAGCCAAAAATTAAGTCTAGTACAAGTGAAAAGTAGCAAGTCAAAGAGTATATAGTATGCGAGCCGCGTATTGTGCGCAAAATGATGTAAATTTTACTTAATGTCTCGTCAAATAGTGAAATATTCCATACAAGTACATCTACCAATTTAGAAGAAGATATGTTGCTATGATTTGAAAACATAAAATTTGTCATCAACCGGAAGCTACGAGGTTTGTAACCTTTTCTTTTCGAGGTTGGATTAAATTAGGCCGTCTGAAGAAGGGACTATATATTCCTTTTCAATCTATTAATTAGTATCTACTCAAGTATAGTGAAACTGACCAGTCATTCCCCATGGATATGAATTAGCTAACAATAACATACACCGTGTTAGTAAACCACATAAATTTATGTGTTCTTTACTTTCTTACACTATCGATTTCCGAATCCTTTCTAACAAGATGTGACTGGAATCAACATCAACACATATATATATACAACAGTGCAAGTATGGAGTTTGCCACATCAGCCATTCGGAAGCCGTCCTTAATTTGAGGAAGGGTTTTAACGTCAATGAACACATCAATGGACACATTAATGTAGCCGCAACAACAAATTAAATGGGCCGCTCAATATGGGCTGCGTGAATGAAAATTTGACACAAACTTATATGCTCATTTTAGTTTATTTAGGCTGGATATATGTGTTGTGGGTTATAAATAAATTTACAACTTGATTTTTACGGTAAAAGTTATATCTTATAAGGCTGTGTTACTCCCGTTTTTCTCACCGAATCAACGTCTAACCAGTAAACCCGATGTGAACATAAGTATTACATACCATTGAATTTTTTATTAAGTTCCTAAAAAATGTGTACTAAATGTAATATATGAAGGATCATACAAACTGAAAAAAAATGAGACAACTCAACAATAATATATGTTTGTCAAGTGCAGCAAATGCATAGCTTATCGGTCTCAATGCTGACATTTTGATGCATTAAATATATGACAATCTGTCACTTAAATGTCCTTGCTATACCACATAATTATTATTAAAAGAAAAAACATATATTGGGATACGGGTAGGGCCTAAACCTATTAATCGTTTGGGGAACTCAGAGATCAATTATTCTACGATGGTTGAGCCTTGAGGTGGGACCTAGCTAGACCTTAATACCACTCTATTGATTAGTTGCATTTCTTAATAAAATTGCAGCAAACTAAGTATGTGTTTGCTTCTTAGATTTTCACTTCGCTTATCAATTCAACGTGAAATTATCGATGTTCAACATAGTTGTTGTTATATGCATGGTTGTGTTATATGCTTTCAAACAGCGGAGAAATATCTTAACCAATACTACTATGAAAACTACAAAACATCACCACAATAGCAACTTATAAGTAATAACTTAGGTTCTATAATTATCTTTACATAAACTCAACTTGATATCAATTTTTTAATGATTTAACATTGCATGAAGTGAAGGGTTATCCCATCACTAATCCTTAAATTAATTATGCAGGTATATAGTTGATAAGCCACCCATGAATTTATGTTCAATATTAGAGAATTAAATAACTTTTGAGTTGGAAATTGACTAAAATGAAGAATCGAGATTACTATATTAGAGTTCACAATCATGAGGCACATGCGCATATTGATGCTTCCATTCATGATTGTCAAACAACGATCATGACTGAGAAATAGAGGTGGAGAGGGTTTGAGAGAGGAGGAAGAAAAATGGAGTATTGGTAAAAAGTATAAGATCGATAATTGTACATCTCCCAATAATTTAATATGATTGATAAGCCAACCATCAATTTATGTTCACCATTAGAGCGTTAAATAACTTTTTGAGTGGTAGAGTAAATGAAGGGAATTTTGAATACAATCCTATAGTAAACTTAAGAGTTGAGATTACTATATTAGAGTTCGTCATGGGCGCACACGCATACTAACGGTATGTCCAGGGTTGTCAAACGACGATCATGAATGAGAAAGAGAGGTGGAGAGGGCCTGAGAGAGAGAAGGGAGAAGAATAGTGTGTTGGTAAATGCTATAAGATCGATAATTGAACAATTCTAAATAACTGAACTTCAACTTATTGAGACTAATTGGTTCTAGACATGGAGAAGAGGAAGAGAGATATGGAGATGGGGAGGAGGAACCGGAAGGGCGTCAAAGAGAGAAATGGAAAGAGTGAATTGAGGGACGGGATTAGGTGGTTGTGAAAATTAGATAGAAAATTAGATAGAACTTTGAACTTGATTATATGTTGAATGAGAACATACAAATTATGCTTAGAAATATAAAGTATACTCCAAATATAAAAATCTTACATTTCTATCTTACAATATTATTAGAGATGGAAAGTCATCAACCCTATCGATCAATAGTGATATCTACATTGTTGAATTCTCTATCCTTCTCCCATGAGAAAGGGAGCAGCCTAATTGTGCAAGCCATGATGTTTTCAGCAATGGTCATGCCAACTACGGATGATAATGGGTCGGGTTTTGCCAAATCCAAATCCAAACTCATGGGTTTATCCGTCAAAAAAACCAGGGATACAACCCAATGGGTTTGGAAAACTCAAACCCAACCCAACCCGCTGGGTACCCATGGATTTTTGTGGTAAAAAATTTACAATGACAAGTTCATATCAAAATAAAAGTCAAACACTAATTTCTCTAAACAAATTGTAAATTAGATTGGGGAAATTAGAATTAGGGTAGACTTTGGAAAGAGTAGGAGAAGAAATAAGTGTGGGCGGGTATCCATGGGTCGGGTATCTCTAAACCCAAACACAACCCAATCCGATGAAAGTGTAACGAGTTTAAACCCAAACCAAGCTCAAAACCTGTCAACATGAATTTTACCCATACTGACCGAATTGGGTTAGGTAGGATACTCATGGGTTCGGGTTTTGTTATAATCCCTAATCACACTAATGCTTCCACTACTACTGCAAATTTTAAAAATATCCAACAATACAATTAAGAATTCACTTTTTTAAACTCATGAATTGAACTGATGTCTAATTGAATAATCAAACCCGACCAACGGGTCGGGCAAAGCTGCTAGTTAAGTTTAGATAGGTTAAGGGTGCAAGCAAATCACTAACCAAGCCGAGAAGCAAAGTAGAAGATAAGAATTAACGACTTCTTCCCTGCTTGCGAGTTCTGTTATGGTACGTTATTATGCTTTTATGCCGTGTCGGATATTCGGATGTGTTTGCCAGCCAGGCTGCATATTCCATTTTATTGTGCCGGGAAAATGCTTCCTATTGAGACCAATTTCTCCACCACACGCAAAAGATTGATGAATTTATACCCCTACTATATGAGACATTTTAGTGTGCTTTATAGTATTGGTACTATAAAATGTTTACAGCCATTAGATTATGTTCAAAATATATCAGCCATTAGATCTTATTTAAATTATTAATATATTGTTTTATTTGTGTATGGACAACCGGTACAACCGGTTGTAAAGTTTCGAAATTCATTCTCTTATCCTTCTCCTCCCCGTCGACAGAGCGCGGGCGAGGAATTCTAATCTCCGGCGACGCCAATTCCAACACCATCCTCTACACCAACGGCCGCTCCGTCATCATTAGGTACCTCGACCAGCCCCTCAAAGTCGATGTCTACGGTGAGCACAGCTACCCTGTCACCGTCGCTCGCTACTCCCCCAACGACGAGTGGATTACATCCGCCGACACTTCCGAAACCGTAAGGATCTGGGGTGTCCACAACAGCTTCGTCCTCCACAACGAGTTTGGCATCCTCTCCGGCCGAATCGACGATATGCAATGGTCCCCTGATCAACTGAGAATCGTTGTCTCTGGGGACGGTAAGGGAAAATCCTTCGTACGTGCTTTCGTGTGAGTTTCCCCCTCCCTCCCTCTTATCGTAATTTTACCCCCTTTTGTCTTTAAAACCTAATTTCGAATTTAACAAGTTATTGAGCGAGCAATTTGTATCCCGGATTTCTGAAGGTGGGATTCAGGTCGCACCGTGGGGGAATTCGACGGAAATTCGAAGCGAGTGTTGAGCTGTGCGTTCAAGCCGACGCGGCCGTTCCGGATTGTTAGCTGCGGAGAGGATTTCATTGTGAATTTCTACGAAGGCCCTCCATTTAAGTTCCTGCACTCTCACAGGTTCAATTACTTCCAAATTCCTCTTTCATTTTTGTTTCTTGAAATCCATATTTTTCAAATGAGAGTTTTGTCATTCGTGGATGTAGGCAGCATTCCAACTTTGTGAATTGCGTCAGGTTTTCACCAGATGGAAGCAAGTGCATTACCGTGAGCTCTGTCAAGAAAGGGTTGATCTACAATGGCAAGACTGGTGAAATCATTGGAGAATTGTCCCATGAAGATGCTCATACGGGCAGCATATACGCCGTTAGTTGGAGCCCAGATAGTAAGCGGGTCCAAACCACAATTTACTGACCAAGTTTTCACTGAACTTGATCCGATGGTAAGATCTACCATCACCTAATCGGTATGCTATTTATCATCATCTAGGTGCTTACTGCTTTGGCCGATAAGTCTGTTTGTAAACCCACTTTATACTGCTTACCTGCTATGTTTGTTTGTAAACCCACTTTATACTTGCTCTCCTTTAATGATACTCTTGAGTCTTTACTTGGTAAGCCTTTTATTATAATATTTTCTTGACTACAGGCTCTAACAGTAGCAATAATACAACAAAATGTCTCAATCCTGCTTTTGTTCATGCTATAGCGATTACAGATGTAAATATTGTCGACAATGTAGTAAAGATATTTGCAGTATCTAGGGGCGTTGGTGTTTTCGATGTGATAGACATTGAATTAGAACTTGATGTTGATATTAGGTCAAAAAGTTTGGTAAAGGTTGACTGTTCTGTAAGTCTCCGTAGCTCCGCATATTTCCTTTTATGTACCTTTTGGTATATCAATTCTAATTGCAAGTTCTCTTTGCTGGAGGACTAGAGTAAAGAACAAGGAGTCTCCTCTCATCCATCTCCAGTGAATGTGTCCTATCTCAGTGAAGGAAAACCCAGGTATCAGAGATTTCCTTTCTCTTCTTCTTCACTTATGTACTTCACTGAATGTGACCAATTTTTAGCCACTTTGTGTTTAAAAGAGGTATAGTGGCTCGATCGGGTGCGACTTGGGAGTGGTCTCTCGCTGAGTTTTTTTTCAACCTCAAAGCCATGGCTCTTGGGCCCCAGTAGAATAGACTGGGAATGTTAAAACCGCTATGTTTATTTCTTGAGATTCTCGGTTAAGGATTGTTGTTGGGGTTTATGTATTGCTTGATTTTTGTTATGTCACAACTTATCACCGACAAGTTCAGAATCGATGAGTCTCTTGACCACTGTCAACGCTATCACTGGTTAGCTTTTGTGTCAATCATATTCGCCTGCCATCGTATCCTGAAATCAGGTTTGCCTTCGTCTTAGTGGTTGCTGATGTTTTGTTATATTTCAACCACCTAGAAGACTGTTGATAGGCTCTTGAACAAGGGTCGGAGAGGTGGATAAGACTTTCTTTTAATACATATGCAAACCTGTATGCTACTTAGTCTCCATTTGATTTCCCTGGAAGCAGTGAGATTTTTTGTTTTGTGAAATATGCTTTTACGTACAAACTTATGGTCCTTACGTTGATATTTTATAATTGGATTGGGATTTTGTAGGGCATGGATCGATGGAGGGGCCGTGACATGAACTTTATGAATGGTTAGAAAGAAGAAGATTCTGCTGAGTACCTAGGGTAATCTCTTCTTCTTGGTCTATGCAGCTTAGTATCATCCTTGACCAACCAATTAACGACTGGGAATATGGTTTAGTGGCAAGGGATATTAATGGAGATTTCTTCCTATAGAGTTTATAGCAACTTATGAGTTTTCTTTTTGCAATAATTTGGGTTAAGTGGTTAACTGACTACTCTTTCATGTTTATAGCAGTCAATTTGGTAACCGTGCAAGTGTACTTGGGGGTAGGAACTACCAGTGCCGTTGAAGGACAAGTATGGATGCATCAGCTTGGGCTTGGTTGCTATTATGTGCTTCCATTATCTCACAAAGAGAGCTGTTAGCTTGTTTTCTCTTCTGTTGGTCTAGTTCTATTCAATCGCACGATAGTTGCCTTCAACGGTACTAGCTGTCTTTAAAGTAATGCTTAAAATTTTTTCGGTACAGTTCTTATGATCATACTTGATAATTCCATATATGGTTTGCTGCAAAGTCCAAAATTTGCAGACCTAAATTATTCAACACTGCAAAATTAAGAAGGAAGCTTGGAGTTTATGAAGGTCTTGGTGCCATCTCTTGACTTATGATGGTGGCAGTTTCATTGAAGTTGCTGTTGTCATTTGTTAAATGCTTGGGGCAAAGAGATGTTGAAAATGAAGGCGTTGTGAAAGTTGAAGCAAACGATCCAAGCACAACATGTAATGCTTATGTTCAGCTTGAAAGAACATTATGTCTCAACTTGTCATGTTTGTTTTCTCGAAGTTAGTATCTAGTCACGTTGAATGGATCTATGTAATGCTGGTGTTTAGCTTTAGAGAACATTATGAATAATCTTTTTCATAAGTTTGAAGTTTTGGGAAACAGTCCATTATGTTTGAAACACCATTATAATAAGAACTGGAAATTTGACACCTCATACTGGTAATCTCACGACCGTAAAATACACCAGTGAGATGTAAAAAGCAGTGCTTCATTCCTTTGGCAAATCTCACGGCCGTGAGATGTCCCGTGAGATGCAAAGAGCAGTTCTTACTATCCGAGGAAATTTCACAACTACTACTTGACATTCTCACACCCGTCAAAATCTCACGTGAAATTGAAACATATAACTGTCACTCAAACGTTCTCACAACTCATTCTAGCAAAATAACAGCCGTGGAATTAAGATGTACATACACTTTCTAGAGTTGTACCTTTACACTAAACTTAAAGTTGTACCTACACTCTCCTAAAAATCTTCTATGGTACAATTCACAATTGTACGTATACACTATGGTACAACTTAATGTTGTACCTACACTATCTAACAAATCCCTCTATGGTACAACTCAAAATTGTACCTATTCTTGTGGTACAACACAAAATTGTACCTATTCTTGTGGTACAACCTTATGTTGTACCTATACTTTCTAAAAATCCTTATATGGTACAACCCAAACTTGTACCTATACCATGGTACAACTTTAAGTTGTACCTACACTTTCTAACAAATCTCTTTATGGTACAACAAAAAATTGTACATATACTAATGGTACAACCTTAAGTTGTACCTACACTTTCTCAAAATTCTTTTATGGTACAACCCAAACTTGTACCTATACCATGGTACAACTTTAAGTTGTACCTACACTTTCTAACAAATCTCTTTATGGTACAACTAAAAATTGTACCTATACTAATGGTACAACCTTAAGTTGTACCTACACTTTCTCAAAATTCTTTTATGGTACAACCCAAACTTGTACCTATACCATGGTACAACTTTAAGTTGTACCTACACTTTCTAACAAATCCCTCTATGGTACAACTCAAAATTGTACCTATACTAATGGTACAACTGTTAGTTGTACCTACACTTTCTAATAAATCTCTTTATGGTACAACTCAAAATTGTACCTATACTAATGGTACAACTGTTAGTTGTACCTACACTTTTTCAAAATCCTTCTATGGTACAACCCAAACTTGTACCTATACCATGGTACAACTTTATGTTGTACCTACACTTTCTAACAAATCCTTTTAAGGTACAACTAAAAATTGTACCTATACTAATGATACAACCTTAAGTTGTACCTACACTTTCTAACAAATCCCTTTATGGTACAACTAAAAATTGTACCTATACTAATGGTACAACCTTAAGTTGTACCTACACTTTTTCAAAATCCTTCTATGGTACAACCCAAACTTGTACCTATAACATGGTACAATTTTAAGTTGTACCTACACTTTCTAATAAATCCTTCTATGGTACAATTCAAAATTGTACCTATACTAATGGTACAACTTCAAGTTGTACCTACACTTTCTAATAAATCTCTTTATGGTACAACTCAAAATTGTACCTATACTAATAGTACAACTTTTAGTTGTACCTACACTTTTTCAAAATCCTTCTATGGTACAACCCAAACTTGTACCTATACCATGGTACAACTTTAAGTTGTACCAACACTTTCTAAAAATCCTTCTATGGTACAACCCAAAATTGTACTTATACCATGGTACAACTTTAAGTTGTACCTACACTTTCTAACAAATCCCTTATGGTACAACTAAAAATTGTACCTATACTAATGGTACAACCTTAAGTTGTACCTACACTTTCTCAAAATTCTTTTATGGTACAACCCAAACTTGTACCTATAACATGGTACAATTTTAAGTTGTACCTACACTTTCTAATAAATCCCTTGATGGTACAACTCAAAATTGTACCTATACTAATGGTACAACTTTAAGTTGTACCTACACTTTGTGAAACAAATTCTTCAATGGTACAGCTGAAACTTGTACCTATACGATATGGTACAACTCTAATTTGTACCTACACTTGTATACATTGATTCATTATTTACAAGATTGCCATTAATGATGTGGGACCAGTCATTTAGTGAGTTTACCTCCTCAACAGGTCACCTTTTTTATAGCATGGGTGCTATAGAGCACACTAGAAGGGCTCCTACTATATATGATCTCATCTCACACACACGCACACTACTTATACCTATCACGAAAACTGCATTTTCCAGTGTACATGACATGAGATAACACACCAGCACAGAAAAAGGACTCGTTTTCATCATACAACAAAAAAGCTCAATTGTAAGTCTCTCGATAACCAAATTGAAGTTCGTCCGCTTCTTGAATGTTCGTCCTTATATTACACGGAAAGTACATGCAGCGAGACACTATGACTGGAACTCGATCGGAAAACTGAGGAAAGGGAGCATTCGGCTTTATTAACTAAACTAATCATAGGATATAACCTAAGTTAAAAGGAAATAGAAGCACGAATCGAAGGGTCACGTATCTGAACTTGGTAGCTGCACCGTCGGGATTGGGAGAGGGGAGAGGGAGCCTGTCCTCCCCCTATTCACTTCTTACATAACCATGCCTCCATCAATAGTAAACACCTGCAAGACCAAGACCATGTTGAGTCAGTATTGTTTAGCCAATTATAAGAGAAATGGTTAGGCAAAGTGCAGAACGCTGTCTGTCTAATGCTTCTCTAGTTAGTGGTGGATTCTATTCGACTTAAGCTAATGTAAATAATGCCTTGACACTGCATGAAAGAGTATAAGAACTTGCAGTCTAGTTTGGATGTTGTCAAGGGGAAATAATGGGGTAAAAGCGATGGTTAGCCTGTTAAGGCAGAAGGTCTGGGAACAATGGACTTGAGGGAAGAGGACCTAACTAGAATTGTTCCCTGGCAGCAAGATCGCATGTTAAAACTAAAACAACCAAGAGAAAAAGGGAATAGCTAGGAAGGAGAAGATCCGCGACCTGTCCAGTGATGTAACTGGCCGCTGGGTTCAGAGCCAAGAATTCCACCAATCCAGCTACCTCTTCTGGCTGGCCATACCTCCCTGGATAAATATTAACAATTTAGACACCAATCATTGGGAAGATTATCATTAAGGTATCCAGTACTGGCTAAAGACGAAAGAGCACATGCACTGATGATAAGCTTCTCGCAAAAGCATTCATTACGTGAGGTTCCACGGCAGTAGTTGCACAAACAATTGTGCAAGTATGGGCTTTCTGCAACTAAGTCTTGAACCCTGTAAGCATTACTTAAAGCTAGCTAACACACCTAAAACAGCATACCAGAAAGTTTAAGATCACGGCTCACCTAGAGGAATCCCCTCCAATATTTTCTTTTCAATATCATCACCGAGATTGGCAGTCATGTCGGATGCAATGAACCCTGGAGCAACTGCATTGACCTGGAAAATATTGCGTTCAATAAGCCCCAAGTTCAATAATCAAGAACCATCTTTCTTTTCATATAAGGCAATAAGCGCGAGAGAACGGTTATGTTTCCAGACCACCCACATTAATATTTCTGCTGGCATATTCCTTTGCAACAGTCTTTGTAAAGCCAATAACTCCAGCCTTGGCAGCACTGTAGTTTGCTTGCCCAGCATTGCCAACCAAACCAACCACTGAAGCAATATTGATAATCCTTCCCTTCAGAACACAAGAAGAAAGAATGCATCACAAAGGTCAGAGACCACCAGAAAAGTTTCTTGCAGAAATACTATTATGAATAACAGTAGGATTTGTCCTAAATTGAAACTTCCCTTCGAAAATATTCCTACAGCAAAGAAGAATTCAACTACAAAAGAAGCAATTCAAAACCTCAACTATGTTCAAGACAGAGTTTCAGAGCATAAAGTAAACAGAAAAGCTTAAGCTGGATCAGTTATAATACCTTTCTCTTCTTCATCATGATCTTGGCTGCTGCCTGCAAAGAGTAAACTAACTTGGTTCAACATAAGGAAATATCACTTGTCTATGCACAAGTACCAAAATCTAAACCCTATACCTGTGTGCAAAGGAAGACACCCGTAAGATTGAGGTCAATAACATCCTGCCACTGTGATTTCTTCATTCTCATCAACAAAGTATCCCTCGTGATCCCTGCAACCTTGCTCAATAAGATTAGAATGCCCAACAAGATTGGGGTAAAAAGAATCATCAAGCACAAAATGGTCTCCGAAGTTTACCTGCATTGTTTATCAGTATGTCAACTGTTCCAAATGCATCAATGGCCTGCACAATTGGCCATTATTTAAGCAATCCTAGTCAAAAACCTTAACTGAGAAACTTCTCTCAAAACCAACCAATAAATAAAGGTTATTGTTCTCACAGTTTTCATCATTGCTTCCACGTCCTCTTCTTTGGAGACATCCCCACCAAAGGTAACAGCCTGACCACCGTAAGCCTCAATCTAGACAACATGATTCAATGTCTCAGTCGGCATATTTATATAAAAAAGTCGTTGTTTCTGAGGCAGCACAGAGCAATTGAATCCTATGCTATGGCAAGAAAGGAAAAATAATCACCTCTTTGGAGACTTCTTCTGCCTCCTTAGACGACCTTGCATAGTTTACCAACACCTATTGCAATCCAAAACAAATCCGAAAAGAATCATTTCAAATGGTTCACTTCTGGCCATAACTGACACGGTGTACCTTCCTCCGTTTGGACTTAAGATTACTAGAGCCCTAAAAGCAAATGCGAATAGCAAACCAGAGAGCAATCATCACTGACCTTGCAACCTGCTTTCCCCAAGGACAATGCAATTGATTTGCCGATGCCCCTAGATGCTCCGGTCACTATAACTACGGGTGATTCCACCTTCTGCGCCGCCTCCGTGCTCGCTTGTTCCGCAGTAGCAACCTGAGCTCTCACGCCTGCCGCCAAAATCCACAATCAGAAATGCAAGAAATCCAAAAACAAAAGGAAGAGTACAAACGACGCGAAATTGATTACCAGAAGAGGCGACGGAGCTTGTCGATCTGCACCGGAGGCTAGCGCGAGCGGCGTTGAGGTTGCTGCTGACCACGCCGGAAAGCGGACGGAACTGGCCGATACTCCTGTCACCGGAGGAGCTGCGGAAACCTGCGGAGGTTCCGGCGGATTTGAAGGCGACGGCACTGGATCCTGCAACAGCAGCCATGAGAGCTCCGCCGAAGTTCCTCCTAACAATCGAAGAAGAATGCGAAGCGATGAGAGTAGCCAGAGGAACGATGATGTAGAGCTTCGGGGTTTATAGGAGCTGTGGAAGGGGATTTCTATGGCTTCAAGTGCTTTGGAAGCTCCGGAAGAATTATGGCGGAAAGGGACGATAAAAACGAAGTTCGTGCTGCGAGCTGTTGAAGCAGGAAGAGTGTGTGTGTGTCTGCCTGTTTGGCGACTGTGCATTTTTTTTTCATTACAAAAAAAAATCGCCGTGAGTTGGTTGGTTGATTTATTTGGTTGGTTGGTTGGTTTGGTTCGGTTCGGTTCATCGATTTATTGATCAAAACACTCTTGACAACGCATGTTTTTTTTGCCATAGATAGATAGTCAATAGATAGAAAATTACAAGAGGTTTGAAAGTAAGAAGCGACAGTCAACCAAGTGTTGATCTGCCGATGCAAGGGCATTTTTGCCGCACAATGAGCAGCCCTGTAAATACTACACTGAGCATAGATAAATTGCACAAAAGAAAAAGAGGTCTTCATGAGAAGAATTTCTTCTAGTATCGCTCCTCCTCTGTCATGTTGAATCTCGTTGTTCTTAGCTTGCTGATAACCAATTAAGAACCTCCACAAAAGCAAACATCATTAACTCCATGGCTTAAGCACCAGCTCATAGCGTCCCTAATAGCTAATAATTCAAGAAGGAAATGGTCTTCCAAACCTGGGTACTTTTTACCATAAGCGCATACTAAGGCAGATTTTGCAGTGAAACCCACAAAACCAATGATGCCTACATCATTCATCCGGACTACTCCATCAAATCGCATTAGCAGACCACCTAAAGGACTTGTTGGAGGCACTGTGAGAGTGGAAGCACGTTGTGATTGAAGCCGACGATGAGGGAAGAATTGGAAGCAGCTTGCATTCGCCATTTGATTCTGAAACTGGCAAAGCAGGGCTGGTGGAAGGTATTGAATATGATCATAAACAGACCAACATCTGCCTTTCCACAACCGCCAGGCAATGAATACTATCTCCGCAATTTGAGACTTTAACATCTGTAAAGAGAAAAAGATACGAGGCCATAAGAAATCAGGAGGGATTAGGCTTAAAGTTTGACACAATCAATTCTTCCCAGCTGCCATCCATACAGCCCTTGCAATCCTGCAGTCAAGAAAACAATGTGAAATGGTTTCATCGGTCTTCGAGAAAACCGGACAAGTACGAGTTGGGAACAAGGACTTTGCTTGGAGGATCGCACACAGTAGCAAGAAGCCACAGACAACCCTCCAAAGGAACAACTTTAATTTCGCGGGTATTGGCAAACTTTAAAGATACTTTTAGAACTTCATATCCAGTTGCAGCGGGAGGTTCCCAAACATATTATCTCGCTCAGACGAGAGAAGATGGTAGCCGGACTTGACTGTATATTGATCGGAAGGAAAGTAGTGCCAGATTAGCCAATCAGGAAGAGGGTTAGAAGGAAGTGGAATTGAGAGAATCCTAGTCACACTCACCGACTGGAAAGTAGATCGAATCAACTACACATTCCATGAATGAGACAAGGGATGAATTAAGGAAGCTACAAAAGGGTTGGAGAGCACAACACCTAGTAAAAGTGAAGGGGAAGACGAAGGCGAGGTAGGCAACCTATAGTCATGAAGAATACTTACTGCAGTCCTGCAGCCCACCTGTCATCGGAGGCCTTTTCTAAGTAGATCCCTGCCTTTTAGAACGCCTTGTCATGCCCATGACTGACGATTACCCACAGGGCAGAGAGGATTGATAGTAGAGATGATAATGACTTTAACAAAATTGGTGGTCTATTCATCCAAATATGCTCAACCTCATATTTACATTTAACATGGGTCATTGTATGGCTGATTTGTTCCCAACTAACAAAACTTCCATCGATACGCCCCATCCGTAAGGCCTTCACTTTGATTCGTCACACACTTGGCCCAACTCCATAGAGGAGGATGCCTAGCTATGCAATAGGTGCTTTACAACCTGGCAATCCGTTTTGACTTCCTCAGAAAGGTAATGAAGTGAAACTTGATCGTCATTTCCACTTCAAAGCTCACTGCCATAGCCTTTGCCACTTCCAATTCTTACAGAATGTGAGTATGATGAACGACCGCTAATTTAAATCATCCTTCTCTACCACGTTAATTTTTAAATGCGATCTCGTCGATGGGTTTCGGGGTTTATGCTTCCAAACGAAGGTGGAAAGGTCAATCTCTGATGCTCCATGCACTCACTCTATCTTTCCATGATCTCACATTCCTCTAACTTCTTCTTATCCCAAAATTGGTTGTTCCTATGATCTCGGATGTACTAGAGTGTGACTAGGAATTTCCCAATCATGTTGTTTGCTTTCGTCTCCTAGAAGGCACAAAACCATTCCTCGCATGTCAGATTCTCACCTTGTATGTACATAGTTGTAATGGGTTAGGCCTCCAAATGCGTCTTGCCTAGCCACACCCTCTAGAAAATATATTCTTATGTTCTTTTAGATCACATAATGGATCATCTTCATTCCACCTTTTGAGTCATCTCCACAATTCTGGCCCCCATAGGCAGAATGTTATGCATCAACTTCCAAGCAAAAACCTTTACCTACAGGGGGTATGCAGTTTCCACACCTCTCCCAATTTACCACCAAGTAAAACTCTCTCAATTCTTTTTCGTTTCACTTTTGCCACAACAGTAAGCCATTTTGACAGAATACTCGCCCAGTTTACTGGTTGCTTAGGGATTGAAATATTTTCTAGTCAATGGAAATTGACATCAAGTCCTCTCCTATAAATCTATGAGCTCCACTACTGATGTGGTCAATGGAAATCGGAGACTGACTGACTCACACAAAACACCACACTAGAAACCCCCTCTAGAGCCCAAGTTTTTAAACTCTAGAGGGGTGCAACATAGGGCAAGTAAGTTTTAATTATCAACCCGTGTTGATCCATGTACCCCTACTTCAATCGCTTAGGTTGTTATCTAGCAAGCAACTTTTGACTTTATAACTAATGAAACTATAAACTAAACAAGCAAAGAAAGAAAAGTAAATAAAGGAAAATTCTAACTTAAGGAGCTTCACTTAGGAGTTGCTTCCCCGTAACTAGCTACCATGACTCGTTGGATTGAATGGAGTCGTGTGGTGTAGGTGGTTGTGAACCGCGAGGGTGAGAAATTAGTGATTGATTTGTCATGGAATCAATTCACTAGCGATCGATTTGTCACAAGATCGATCCTCTCACGACGTCTAGGGGTTTCCTGGGTCTCTCCCTTAAACCGGAGTTTGAGCGGCTTAATCACGACCAACCTATATGCAAACTTGAGTCAAGGGGGATGCTCATATCTAACCTAGATAGTAGGCACAAAGTGCCTAGGAAAACCAAGCTTCTCAAGATCTTCTTCTTCTAGGCTTGAATCCTTGTCTTCAAGATCCACCCAAGCCTCCAATGATGCTCCAAGATCACTCTAGCACTCTCTTCCTCTCTCACTAGAACTCCCCTTTGGTGTTTTTGGGCAAACCCTAGAGAGGAAATTGAATTTCTCTCCAAAAAACCAACCCTCATTTTCTCTCTCCCCGCTGTTGTCTTCATATTTGTCCGAAAGTGAGCAGTTCATGGGTGCGTTGGCCAGTTCACGGCCGTGAACAGCTAAACGCGCATGTGAACTCAGTCGTCTCCAAAACGCACCACTTTACTCTCCTGGGTTCACAGTTAATGGCCCCAGTTCACGGTCTTAGTGACCGTGAACTCCCTTGACGTCAGTAACCTCTGAAACCTCGCTGGACTGCTCGATGTTCACGGTTTGTGGCTCCAGTTCACGGTCTTAGGAGACCGTGAAGTCCCTTGTTTGACCGTAAACTGCGGCTGCTTCCTGGACGCCTGCACTTCGGACTTTTCTTCGGTTTTTGCGCTTTTTAACCTCCAATTATCCCAAAACTCGACCTCGACCCTTCCACACGTGCTAGGACATGAAATATATCAAAACAATCACAACCTAGCGTAAAATATGTCGAGGGACGATGAAATACTAAGTTAAACGAATAAGAAAAGAGGGTTGAAAAGTGTACATTTGGGCCCGAATCAGAGACTAAACCATGTGCCTCTCTGGCCTATGAACTTGGAAACCACTTGTCCGATCATATATCTACCATATCTCAATTACCTATCCGCCATCTTGAATCCATTTCAATTAACTACTTCACTACCATTAAACCTCTCCAAACAAAACTCGGGTTGCAACGTTCGTATGCTTCCAGAATCTCCCAGTTAGGATGATATTTAGCATTTTATCCCTTGTGACGCTAGGAAATCTAGATTTTGCACAAGTCGCCTAAATTGTTTTCCTATGAGGCCTAATTGTAATTTTCCAGGAACCTAAAACCCAATTTACCTTGTTTCTTTGGTCTGCATAATATCACTTCTCATTTCATCCAAAGTGTTCTTTTCTTATCATGTTGTTTCATCGTCGAAAATTCGCAATGATTTTTTAAACCTCTTTAAATACCCCAATGGGTAAAATGGCATCACCTTTATATTAAAACTCCCGTCTTCATGGAGTTGACTTGTTGTCCTGATACAAGTACAACCTCATAAAATGCTTAGTATATTCTTCGATTGTTCACACTCTGGGCGAGTAGTTTTGGTGAATAAAATACTCTCATCTACGAAAACCCTTGCAACATTCTGTTTATTATTTGAAACATTCTAAACAATTAATTCACACAAGAAACACATTATTGCGCAGCCCTAACATGTTGCAAAACACAGGCAATTCAGCCTCCCAGAAACAGGAATCACAAAGGCCACTCTCCACCATTTCCAGCACTCGTTCCTCCCTCCGCAGCCACACCAAGTCCACATTCTTCCTACTGAAACCCTTCAACTTCTCTCTCTCAACGCACTTGCAGCTGCAACTCCCCCGCCGGACGTCGTCGACCTTCCCTACCCAGTTGCACCTCGTCGCCAGCCCATTGCCGTTGTTGATCCACCGCAACTGCGCCATCACAGACCTCACCGCCTCCCTGCACTTATTCCTTATAGTCTCCGACCGCCTCAATCCCTCAAGAAACCCCAACCCTTCCTTCCTCTCCTCTTCGATGGCAACACCCAAGAGAATCATCCCGCACACGTACCTCGCCGCCACGTGGCCCTTCCCCGCTGCGTCCCTCAGATGGCGAATCCCAGACTCTGCCTCCAAGGAG